GCCATATACATGTAATTTAAAAATAAAACAAAAATCTTAGAAAAGGAAAAAAAAAAGGTAAACTTATGTCATATATTTATATTGTTATGGAGTCTCCTTTTGCAGTTTCACTTTGCATAGGTTGAATTAGGGTTGACTATGATCTGGAAATAGTATATGGAAAAGTCTAGAAATAAGCAATTCATATGTATGGTTATTTTACATTTTTTCCCCCTCCTTTTGAGGTAAGGCTTGGCTGTGCTGTATGTAGGCTAGCTTCAAATTCTTGGGTTAAAGTGATGTTCCTGCCTCATACTCTAGGGAATGTGCGGCTAGATACATGGCAGAGACCTGGCTCACATATTTCAAGTAAGTTTTATTACAGTTTATTGTTAAAATTGTTCTTTTGTGTATGGTGCACTTGAGTTTGTAGGTCTGAGCTCTATGTGCATGTGTGGGGGCCATAGCAGAATGTTGGGTGTCTTCTATCACTTCCTGCCTTACTGCCTTGAGACAGGGTCTCATTGAACTGAGAGCTTGCCATGAGCTAAGCTAGCTGTAGAGGAAGAGCTATGAAAAGCTGTTTTATGAGCTGGGTGGTGGTGGTGCAGTTGGGAGGCAGAGGCAGGGGGATCTCTGAGTTCAAGGCTAACATGGTCTACAGAGCAATTCCAGGACAGCCAGGGCTACACAGAGGAACCCTTTTTGGGAAGGATGTGTTTCCTTTTGTCAATGTCAGCATACCACAGCTGTGGTTCCCTGTCTAAGACCACAGAGAGGTGGGCTAGTAAGCTGGGGGTGAGGGATCCAGAATACAGAAGAGCCCTGTAACTTGCTCTTGGGTGAATGTGTGGGTTCACAGGTGTTCATTGTTTTAATTTAACTTGATTAAAAACTTATTTTTATGTGTATGGGTGTTTTGTATGTGTCTGTTTGTCATATTATGTGCAGTGCCTACAGAGGCCAGAAAAGTTGTGAGCCACCATGTGGGTATGGGAATCAAACCTAGGTCCTTTCGAAGAGCAATCAGTGCTCTTAGACCCTAAGTCACTGTCAGTCCCAACAAATGAGTAAAGGCCATTATCCAGATTCTTTGGTCAAATTAAGCTAGCTTTATTTTCTGTCAGACAGGGCTATCTCCTTGAAGTGGGGTTTATGAAAATGGCATCGAACACAGGAGAAGGAAGGCTTTATATTAGACCCAAAACTGCAAGGCTAGAGGTGTTTCAAGGGTTTTTGGTTATGTGGGAACTTGGTAGAACATTTCAAAATTATTTGGCAGAACATCAGGGTGGAGATTAGGGTATAGGGTGTGGAACATGTCAAATTTCAGGAAATAGGTTAAGACATGGTCAAACCCAAGTTTTACAGACAACAGGAATGAATTTATTTTGACCCTGTAATAAGATGGCTTCTAATCTAAGATGGAGTCGGGCTGGTCCATCACCATCTCTTCAGTCCCTCCCCCCTCCCCATTATTTTAATTTAAATAAAGTAGTGCTTGTTTAAAAATATTCTTCCTAGAGATTACACTGAGACTCATTTCAGATAAAACATCCTTTAACTTAGCTGGCCACATGTAGTGGGAAAAGCTGGGATGGGAGATCCAACACCAACCCTCTGAGTTTAATTTTTATATGTGTTGGGGTTTCAGGTCCATACGTTGTTTTGTTTGATGAGTATTGTAGGAGCAAATGAATGCACTGAAGCATTGCTGGGTAGAATGTTCTGTATGTCAGGTCAAGTACAAGAATGGTTCACGTGTTCTGTACTAAGTTCTAAGAGCTTTGTTCTGCTACTGAATGAGGATTGAAATGTCAGACTGAAATTGGAGCTGGTTTCTTTGTAGTTGTTCCTGCTCCAAGTGTCTGGAAGTTTCTATTAAGTGCAGACAATTTTGGATTGTTAGGCCTTCTCAAATTGACCCTTTTATCATATTCTGGTGTCTCTGATGGCATTCTCCTTCTAGTGCCTGTTTTATTTGACAGAAACAGATACTTGATTCTTCCCTTTTGATTGGTATCTAATATCTGTTTTCAGCATTTTTATTATTTCCTCCCTTTGTGTTTAAAGTGGAACTAATAAAGTCTGGTCTTACTGATTTAGAGATTGGTCTCATTATATAGCCTTGTAGTCTTCCTGCCTTTGCCAGGATTCTAGCCTATGCCACTATTGGGTTGTTTCCTCCTCCTCCTCCTCCTCCTCCTCCTCCTTTCTCCACTTCCCTTCTCCTTCTTGCTTCCGTTCTCCTCTTCTTGTTTTGGGTGGGGAGACAAGGACAATTTCTTGCTCTTTTCTTCAGACTGGATTGAACTCCTGGACTCATTAGATCCTGAGGCCTCAGTCTCCTGAGTAGCTGTGATTATTAGATGTGTGTCACTATACCCAGCTATGTGGTTTGATATTTTGTGTGTATGTGGGTAGTGCAGGTATGTATACAGACTAGAGACTGGCATCAGGTGCTTTCCACATTTGTACTTCATCCGCCATCCTCACAATTTTATCTCTTATCATGTGTATGTATATCTGTGTGGGCTTGTGCACATGTGTGCAGGTACCTGTAGAGGCCAGAAGAGGGTGTTAATCCCTGATGCTAGAATTACAGGAGTTATAAGCTGCCTGATGTTTGATGTTGGTGCTGATAAGAGAACTCTGGTCCTCTGCAAGAGCAATGTGTGCTGTTAACCACTGAGCTATCTATCACTCCACCTTTTTTTTTCTTCGAGACAGGGTTTCTCTGTGTAGCTTTGCGCCTTTCCTGGAACTCACTCTGTAGACCAGGCTGGCCTTGAACTCGCAGAGATCCACCTGGCTCTGCCTCCTGAGTGCTGGGATTAAAGGCGTGCATGAGCCACCACCGCCTGGCCCACCTTATTTTTTGACAGGAGGTCTCTCACTGCATCTGCAGCCTGCCCGTTTGGCTAGATTGGCTGCCTAGTATGCTCTTAGGATACTCTTGTCTCCACCTCTCCAGCTTTATTATGTGGATTCTCTCTAGCCCCTGCCTATTATTAAGAGAGTATCTCACTGCAGTTGAACTTGCTGTGTAGCTGAGACTGGCCTTGGACTCTTGGATCTTCCTGCCTCTATCTCCTGAGTGCTGAAATTACAAGTATGTGCCACCATACCAAGCTAGAACATTATCATGTTCAGATCTTAAATGTTTGCTAAAGGCTGCTTTTGCCAACCAGTAGTACTGGTGAGAGGTGTGGTATAATGGAAGAAAATTAAGGTAGTGAGGGCATATGTCCTTGAAGAGGATATTGGGGTCCTGGTCCTTTTCTCTTCTTGCTTCTCCCTGCCATGATGAGGTGAATAGGCTTCTTCCTTTGCAATAAGTGTCCACCATGATGTAGTAAATAAACCACAAGCCAAAGGAATAGACCCAACAAACCATGGACCAAAGATCCTGAAACTGTGAGCTGAGGTAAATCTTTTTATTTAAGGCATTTTGTTATAGTAACAGAAAGCTAACATCTTTATTTTAAAGATATTTTTATTTTAGCAGGTATGGAATTCTATGAGTTTTCTTTTGTCAGAGATTTTGTGTAATTTCTGATGAAAAGTTGGCTCCTATTTTATGTGTTCTTGTGACTATAGTATGTATGTCTCTAAAGTGCTGCTGTCCCTGAATGTGCCCAATTGGAGGATTAGTGTTTTAATTTTTTCTTTCTTTTTTTTTTTTTTTTAATTGAGACATGGTTTCTCTGTGTAACAGCCCTGGCTGTCTGGAACTTACTTCGTAGACCAGACTGTCCTGGAACTAAGAGATCCACCTGCCTCTGCCTTCCAAGTACTGGGATTAAAAGCAATTTGCCACCATGCCCAGCTAGGATTTTAATTTTAATTGTGGAAAAATATTTGGTGGTCTCTTCAAATTTCTTCCCCTACTTTTCACTTTCTTGCCTTCTTCCCTCAGGAATCTAACTATACACAGGTTGGACCACATGGTATTGCCCCACAGGTCACATCATTGGTTTATTTTCTCGATCTCCTTTTCCTGTACTTACTTGGTTCCTTCTAATAAGTGTTAAAATTCATATGTTTCTGTGTTGTCTAATCTGTGTACTTCCAGAGTATATTCTAGAAATTCCACTTACTGAGTTTTTAGGTATTTTTCTCATTATGTTCATTTTCCTTTACATTCTTAAAAATGTAATAGCTGTTTTTAAAGTTCTTAGCCGCTAATTCCATGGTCTAGTGGGGTTTTTTTTTGTTTTTTGTTTTTTCCCCCCAGACAGTGTTTCTTTGTGTAGTTTTGGTACCTGTCCTGGATCTCACTCTGTAGACCAGGCTGGCCTCGAACCTGGAACTCAAAGAGATCTGCCTGGCTCAGCCTCCCGAATGCTGGATTTAAAGGCATGCCGCCATCGCCCGGCTGTTTTTTTTTTTTTTTTTTTTAATTTTTTTTATTTTTTAAATGGTATTGCTATATAGTATAGGCTAGCCTGGAACTCAAGTCTCCTGCCTTACATACACTCCCCAACCCTGCCTCTTTTCACCCTGTATCTGAGTATGGAACCCAAGTCTTCACAAATTCTGGGCAAGCATTTTAGCACTGAACCAAGACTCCGGCCATGTATCTTTTCCACTCTTGGTTGAGCCATATTTTTGTACACCTGTTAGTTTTGATCTGGAAGCAGGATATTCTGGTATTTGAGTTGTCAAGTTCTGCACTTTGTTATATTCCTTTAAAGCAGTGGTTCTCAACTTGTGGGTTATGACCCCTTGGGGTTGCATATCAGATATTTACATTATGATAACAGTAGCACAATTATACTTATGAAATAGCAATTAAATAGTTTGATTTGCTACTTACTAGTTGTGGGGTCACTACAACATGAACTGTATCAAAGGGTTGCAGCATTAGGAAGGTTGAGAACCACTGCTTTACAGAGTGTTAGGCTTTCTCACACAGTGAAACCACTACAGATTACTTTGGCCTCTGTCAAGGCTGCTTGGCTTCAAGAACAAACCTTAATCTGGGCATGGTGGTACAAGCCAATAATCCCAATACTCACCAGAAAGAGGCAGGAGGCTGAGTTCAAGGCCATCCTCAGCTATGTATCTATCCAGGTCCAGGACAGCCAGGACTACATAGAGAGACCCTATCTCAAAACAAAGAAAGCAGACCTTAAAGTTAATTGAAGGGATACTGGTAAGGTGTAATAGCTGGGTGTTTGAGACAAGATTGCAATATGTAGCTCTGCCTGCCCTGGAATTCACTATTGCAGACAAGGCTGGCCTTGAATTTGTGGCAATTCTCCTGCCTCTGCCTCCCAAGTGCTGTCATTATAAGTGTGCCTACCATGTCTGACTGTCTTTCCTGGAACTTTCCCCAGTGTAGTACTATGAATGTGTTCCATTGACTACCCTCTTGTGTGGACACCAGAGATTGTTTGAACTATTGTTTAGGCCACATAGAGCTATTCTTCCAATCCTAAGCTCTTAGGATCATAATTTTACTGAATGCAGCCCCATACCATTTCAACTGATCCTCAAAGGCATAAGCTACAAAGAGCCCCTGGCTGCTGTGTCATGCGTCATAGTATCACTCTCACTGTCTCCGTTGAGAGCAGCAAGCAGCATAGGAAGCCAGGCTTGTCCTTAGGCTGACAGACTCCCATGCATTCTCTGTAAGTTGAGCAGCACAAGAAAGGTCCTTTCCAGTCTTGTTCTCATGCCTATCATGGAAGAAAGGAAGCTGGTTTTTATGCAATTTTCAGAAGGTTCGCGGGTTCTATGGAGTGACTTAGGAGGCCATGTGCCTACTCCTGAATGTGTTATGGCAAACAACAGGTTTGGCTTATGAAAAGTAAAAGGATAGATGGGGCTCTGCAGTTCTCCTGAGGTGACTGGATAGAGCAGCTGCCTTGGTATCTATGTAAAGGTTTGATGTGAACATATTTTGGCTGAGGACTAACAACACCCCCTCTTTGGTTCTACAGTGGATAAGTTTGGGGTGAGGTGGGCTGGAACTCTAATCCTGGCTTTCTCCTTAGCAAGTGGGTAAGCCTATCTCCTCTGCCATATTGCTTACCTGAAATACAGTGTGAAGGCTACTCAAGCAGTAGATGGTAGACAGTAGCTACTGTTTTGACTGCTGGTTCAGGTGAAGGTTTCAGGACCTCTGCTGGGAGGTGGTACCTGGCTCAAGGTTGTTTAGGACCAGAACCGTGGTTTCCCACCATAGCCTTATATTTGAATGCTCTGGGTTAACATTCCTTGCCTGACATATGGATGTGTTGGCATCTCATACCCATTCTTTAGGGCAGAAGTCATCAATCCCATCCCATGGAGTAAGTGTACCCAGAGGGGGCTACTGCCCTTGCAGGCCCAGCCTGGAATATAGCTTACACAGGTGCTCACAGCAGCCCAATTTGGGCAGATAGATAGACTGTGTGGGATGACACAGCATAGTTTCTATGCAATATGATTTTATTAGCTTGGAAACAGCCTGAACCAAAAGATAGTTAAAAATGGCCAAAAATATTTAAAAATAATAGTCATTTGTTCCTAACATGAATACTCTCAGCTGGACATTAAATTACTAAACATATGGAATCCCAGTAAGGCAGGTGAGCACCCAGTTTCCATCTGTGGGCACTCCTTGGGTATGGAATCTTGGTAGCGTTGGGACCCTTCTTCCCAGTTATTTGGACGTTGTTCCAGAATAGGCAGTCCTGGAAACAAGAAGACCAGGCCGCCTGTGTTGTCACTGCTCATTCTGTTGGCCCTCTGTGATGGAGGTTGACACAGAACCCTGGCCTTTGTTGACATCACTGATGCACACCCACTGTCCATCCACCGACTCTTTCCACAGGGTCACCTGCAAGTTAGCATACAAAGTCACAGGTCTGCACCTGTTTCTGCTGCTTTCCAGCCTCATCCTCAATGTGACACAGGCTGTGGAAAAAGCATGTACCTCCCACTACACTTGCTCAAAATGCAGGGGAAGGACTAACTCATGTTACAGAGCACAGTAGGAACAGCCCACATGGGATGCTGCTCTAAATAGAGTGACAATGAGAGAGGACGTGTGTGGCTAAGAGCAGGCCAGGGTTGGGCTGCTTGTCTTTAACAGCACAAGTTAGACAAGACGTAACTATTATATGAGGTACCCTTGCAGAGAAACAGCTGAAAAGGTCTGTCCCTGGAGAAAAGTTGAGTGACTGTTCTGACAACACTGTTCTATGGCTCCTCAGAAGTACATCGCCTTGTGCAGCTCACCTACACCTGACACAGAAATAGGATCTTTATTTCACACACAGGGTGAGGAACGGCCTTAGAAGACAGGCAGATAAGCCAGCTGTAAAATGCCTCAGGAATGCCAATTTAAACACCAGGTCCTGACTCTGGTAGGTAGAAGTAAAGCTATCCTTTGAGATGGGGCCTGCAAGTCTGTTCTGGAACTACTACAGAGCAGAAAAGGCTACCTGTAGAGGTGTGGAAAAAAAATGTTTCTTCACTCATACTCTTAACAATAAAGAATGTTGTTTATGTATTAGCTTTATAAAGGGGAGCCATTATGCTAAATGAAATAAGCCAGTCATGAAAGGACAGAAAGTGGAGTAGGTAGTGAATGGAGCTAGTTAATAGGTACTGAGCTTGTTTTACAAGCTTAAGAGTTCTGGAGATCAATTGCATAGTGTCGACACACGGCACTTAAAAGTCATTACAATAGTTAAAAAAAAATACATATTTTACCACAGTTACAGAAAGTATGGAAGTGCTCCTAACCTCTACAGAGAAGCTATGCTTTAAGGCAGAAGGTGTTCCCTACTTTCCTTATCTCTGCCCAGTGTTGGTCTTTCCAGTGGCCACTTGGCTCAAAGCAAAAGCAAGAGGTAGAGACACAGGAGGTAGTAAAAGCCCCTGCGGTCTATCCTGATTCTTAGGAAAGAGGCCCATCAACATCCTGGACAGCTCAATGCTCTCCTTGCAGAGCTCCGGCTGCACTGTAGCTATGCAAACCCTACACATCACCTCCTTTTCCGTGTACACAGTACCCCAAAAGGTTGAGAGACTGAAATGTAATTTAGATCCACCTCTGACTAGGTGGGACCACTTAGTATACATGCCAGCAAGTGAAAAATCATATAAATAAATTATAGCCTGTATGCTCACTGCCTAGGAAATAGGCTATACCTTATTGTCTCCACCCGACACGGCCAGGATGTTTGCTGTGATGGACCAGCTCACATGCCACACAACGTCATTGAATTTGTGCAGGAGTTTGGGTGACCACATATTGCCTGAAGCATCATCACAGGTCCAAATAAACACTCGACCGTCCTAGGGAAAGACACATCAGGAGATGGAGGATTAAGCATTCTCCCCAGGGACAGCCATCTGGGCCTGCAGACAGGCAGCTAAACAGTCTGTTCCACTGTCCTGCTTCTTAATCTGTTTACTTATCTGTTTACACATCTCACAATAGACCAGGGGCACTGAATTCTGTGGTTTTATGGATGAACAGGTCATTGCTACGGATATTTTTCTCCCTGCCTGGCTAGTCTTTCTCATCTGAACAGGGACAGCCATCTTTTAAACCAAGCTCAGAAACAGGGGATGTGTGAAACAAACAAGAAGAACTTCCAATAAAAACACTCTAATGGGCCTAAAAGGTCTTGCCTCTTATCTTTCATCCCAGTGGTTGACAAGAAATAAGAGCTGGTGGTATCTGGGAAGGGTGACTAGATATATGAACCCAAGGCACTAAGTTTGGGCACCTCCATCCCTCCTACATGAGGGTCAGGAGGGACCTGAACTTGGCTCCAAGTTTGGGATTAGTTCTCAAGCTACTTCTGACCCATCTCACTGTACACTAGTCCTACATGCTCCTGGTCTCTGCCCAGGTCTAAAGATACCTGCTGCCCTCCCTCCTCCCTCTGAAGGACTTTCCCCTCTTTTGACATTGGAAGGACTCAAGGCTGAGGACATGGGCTGCTCTCATGATGTCGGGGCTGACCTGAGAGCAGCTGGCAATGGTGCTGGTGGGCAAGCCAATGGAGGGGGCCCAGGCAACGTCTCGAACCCAGTCGCTGTGTGCTTCTAGCTTCTGCTCCTCCTTCCACTGGCCATCTTCTTCCTCCCTACAGAGGAAACCAGAGCAGGGAATGCAGTGGCAAGCAAGCATCTCCACCCTGGGTGGATAGTCCACCTTTCATGTTCTCTTCCATGAGAATAATGAGTGGAATTCTACTTAGCTCACTAAGTTGTCCATCAAGTCCCCAGAAAATGCCCTTTCCACCATAGCTCCAAAGGTTGGGGAATACTAAAAGTGCTTAGAAAAAGAGAAAGGTGTTTGTTTTAAAAAGGATGTCCTAACAGACCGAAAACAGTGTATTGTTACTGACAGGGAGAAAGGTGACCTTGCTGCTTATAGAGTGTGGCTGAGCAATGGCAGGCAGAGCAGAAGTGCTCCAGGAGATGTCCACACAACTCACTGACCTCCACAGCTTGATGAGGTTGTCACAGCCACCTGATGCAAACTTCTTGATGTAATTGGGCTTCTGTCCTGATGGTTGGTCTATGAGGCTTCCAGGCACAACAGCAGGAGCCCAACTGACAGCGTTACAGCCAATCTGCGGAGGGAACCTGTGGTGAGGCTGCACTCTTGCACAGCAATGGGAGTATCCCATGGACTCCTGGTGATTTCCCTCTTCTGGTTGTCAGGACTTGGATTACAGCACACAAATAATGTGATGAACAAGAATTAGGCACTGACATGTTCTTGTAATACCAGCATGGGAGGCAGGATAAGGGGACACGAGTCAGGCAGATTCCTTAAGGTCACTAGCCAACTAGCCCAGCCAAATCCATGCATTTCAGATTCATTAAGAGATCCTGTCTCAAATAAAATGTGAAGAGCAATATGGAAAGACACCTGATGCCAACCCTGGGCCTATATATAAACCTGCACAAGATATTACTAACCAGACATACACTCAAAGTAGGGATTAGCCCTAAAGGCAAACTATGAGACCAACAGATTTCTCAGCAAAAACCCTAAGGGCCAAGAGGGCATAGGATGGCGTTTCAAGTCCTCAAAGAAAATTACATTACAGTGCAGACTCAAAGGAGAAACGAAGAGCTTCTGCTAAGAGCATAATCCAAGGGAATTGGTCATAACACTAGCCTTATGAACGGTGTGGGGAGAGTCCTGTACCACAGAGGGAAGAAAGATTACTCTCAGAGCATATGGAAAAATAAATCCTATTAGAAAAGTACACATGCAAATAAGAAACAGCAAAAAAACAAAAACCAAAATAAAACAAAACATTAATACAAAGATGAGCTAGAGACAGCACCATCAAAGAGGAGTCAAAACAACTAGATGACCAAATAATGACTTCTTATGGTAACTCTGATCCTGGCTTACATATGTAATTTCTTTTTTGTTGTTTGTTTGGTAGCAGGGTCCTAGCTATGGAGCCTAGGCTGGCCTTGAGCTTCCTTCCTTTCTACCTCAGTTTCCCAATGTAAATTATCTCAATTCACCAGTAAAAAGACACAGACTAGGTCTGGGAAGATGGTTCAGTACGTAACGTACTTGCCACAAAGAATAAAAACCTGATTTGGACCCCTAGAACACACATTTAAAAACAGGCATGGGCTGGCATGGTGGCGCATGTCTTTAATCCCAGCACTCCGGAGGCAGCGGCAGGGGGATCTCTGAGTTTGAGGTCTACAGAGCGAGTTCCAGGACAGCCAGGGCTATATAGAGAAATCCTGTCTTAAAAAACCTAAAACAAGCTGGGTGGTGGTGGTGCACGCCTTTAATCCCAGCACTTGGGAGGCAGAAGCAGGCGGATCTTTGTGAGTTCGAGGCCAGCCTGGGCTACAGAGTGAGTTCCAGGAAAGGCACAAAGCTACACAGAGAAACCCTGTCTTGAAAAAACAAACCCCCCCCCCCAAAAAAAAAACAAACCTGAAACAACAATAAAACAGATATGATGTGCACTTGCACACTTGTAGCACTGGGGGGTGGGGGGGGCAGAGACAGGAAGATCCCTGACACTGGCTAGATAGTCTAGCCAAATTAGTGAGCTTTGGGTCCAGTGAGAGACTGTCTCAACAAATAAGGTGGACAGTGATGGAGGAAGACATCAGACATTGACCTCCTGTCTTCACATGTATATGACCATGTACACATGCATATATTACATTACACAAACACAAAGAAACAGACTGACTTAGAACAAGAACCAACAATATGCTGGATGTAACTCACCTCAGCAGCAGAGACAAACACATTAAAAACGAAAGGCTGAGAAACTAAGCAAACAGAATCGAAACCAGGCGGTAACAGTGTACCTGACAAAACAGACTTGACAAAGATTTACTGTTTTGCAGACAAAATAATAAGATACAATGACAGTCACATGATCAGTTGATATGAAGATAACGGTTGTCAATATATATGCACTGAGTTTAAGAGTATACAGTTGTAAGACAAATATTAAAAAGAGCCCCAGATACATAGTGTTAGTAAATTCAAAGTCTGAAATAATAAGTTGCATATTTCTGATCAAAATAGAACAAAAATGGAAGTCAGCAGCAAGAGAAACTGCAGAGATTATACAAACACATGAAGACTAGAATGGTTAACCTTCACTATCAACTTGATTGGATTTAGAATCGCCTAGGAAGCAAACAACTGCATGTCTGTGAGGACACATCCAGAACATTCAACTGAATGTAGGCAGCACCATCCCAAGGGCTTAGGATCCTGGACTGAACACCAGCATTCATCTGTCTCTGCTTTCTGACTGTGGATGTACTGTGACAAACTGCTTCACCAGCTGCCTCTTGCTGCCCTGCCTTCCCCTATCATGACAGGCTACCACCAGACTGTAAGCCAAAAATAAACCTTTCCTTTCTTGAGTTGCATTGGTCAGGGTTTTGCCACAGAAAGGAGAAATATTCCTGATACAGAGATTATACATAGTTTTGAACAATAAGTCATTGAAGGAATTAAGTGGGAAATAGAAAATTTCTTTTTGGGGGGGAGGGATTTCCTGTGTGTAGCCCTAGCTGTCACTCTGTAGACCAGGCTGACCTCACACTTGGAGATCTACCTGCCACTTTCCAAATGCTGGAATTAAATACATGCACCACCACCACCTGGCTTGAGAAAATTTCTTAAATAAATGTCAATGGAAACATACCAAAAGCATACAAAGCTTAACTAGTACACAGATGGAAGAAATAGAAAAAGCAGTATAAAGAGGGACTTTACAGTACCGAGTGAGACCCCGCATCCAAACAAAACACAACTCTAGTTCCGGGGAACCAGTGACTCCGTCCTCCAAAGGCACCGTACTCACTTATGTGTGTATACACACTAAAATCAATCTTTAAAAAAAAATAGAGCTCAACCTAATGATCTCTCCCAAGGTGTTAGAAAAGTAAAACAAAACAAAAACAAATAGTATGATAAATATAAGGAAAAGACCAGAGCAAACCAGGTGGTGGCGGCACACACCTTTAATCCCAGTGCTGGAAAGGCAGAGGAAGGATTTCTGAGAGTTCCAGGCCAGCCTGGTCTACAGAGGGAGTTCCAGGGCTACACCGAGAAACCCTGTCTCGAGGAAAAAAAAAAAAAAGACCAGAGCAGAAAAAAATAAAATTGAGACTGAAAGGATCAATGAAACAGTTGGTTCTTTGAAAAATAAACACAACTGACAAACCTTTAGCCAGACCAACCAAAAAGAAGAATTTAAATGAATACTTGACCAGTCCAGGTTCAGCACCAGTCTCAAGAGTAGAGACTCCATCTGACCCCTTCCTCCATCTGGCAGACTCAAGTCTTAGGGGCCCCAGAAGTTGCTGCAATACTTAATATTTTACTCTTTGTCTATACTGTTGACTTTGACTATTGTTTTTTATTCCTCTTTCTACATTTATCCAATTTTATTTAAACATTTGTTGTAAATTTTTTAAAAACCTGTTGCTCTTCTTTCTCGCTCTTCCTATTGTTCCTCTCCATTTTTCATTTATTTTTTATTGCATGCATGTGCCATGGCACATATGTGGAGGTCAAAGGACAACTTTGTGAAGTCAGTTCTCTCTGTCCACCTTCATATGGATTTCAGAATTGAACTCGGGTTCCAGGCTTGCTTAGTGCCCATATCTGCTGAGCCACCCTCAGCCTTCTTTTTCTTTAACCTTGCTTCTCACTCCCTCCATCTAGTACCCCCTTTCTTTATTGCACACACTTAATATTTTCACTTTTGTCCTAAATAATTTTTGACTTCACACTTCACATTATTTTGCCATTTTCTGTCATACAGCCATTGGTGTATTAACTGACATTAATTGATTTTAAGTATTTGTAAATCTTGTTTGATTTGGCAGTTTCACTGTTTAATCTTATGTTTTCTCTGAGTAGTACTGGAGCCTGAACTCTCAAGAACCCTTGCTTAGCGACAAGATGAACAAAACTGGAAGAGATGTCCAAACAGAAACAAAAGAAACATAATAAAAAAACAAGCAATACAATGCCTCAGAAAGACCCCAACTACTCAAATACCAAACCAAAAGACGCTGAAATGCCAAAGAATTCAAGTCTACTTGTAAAAGTGATCAATGACTTCAACGAGAAAAAAAATGAACAGATAACTGAAATAAGAAAATCACTTTAAGACATGGATAAGAAATTCAGCAACACCAAGAAGAAACTCTGCAATATAGGTAGAGATTCTGCAAGGAAACACATTTAAAAAAACAAAACAAAACAAGTGGTGAATATGAAGAACCAATAAATAAAAATATAAAAATATAAGAAAGTGGAAAGCAGACCAGCTCAAACAGATATCAATAAAGAAAAATTAAGTGTAACCACAACTTTCATGAATTCTGGAACATGATCAAGAGATTAAATCTAAGAATTCATGGGGTAGGAGTTAAGATCAAAACTAAAGGCAGTAAAACATATCCAATGTAATCACAGCAAAAAAATTGACTAATTCCAAAAAAAGCAATGGATAAATGAGTAAGATAGCTGGGCGGTGGTGTTGTACGCCTTTAATCCCAGCACTCGGGAGGCAGAGCCAGGTGGATCTCTGAGTTCGAGCCCAGCCTGGTCTATAGAGCGAGATCCAGGACAGGCACCAAAACTACACAGAGAAACCCTGTCTCGAGAACAAAACAACAAAAAAGTGTAAGATGGATCTAAACTGCAAGTAGGAATGACAGCAGAAGAAACTTTCCCTGACTAGGGAAAATGCCAAGGTGACAAAACAGTAATAATATTTAAAGCTGTGCAAGGGGTGGGGGATGGCTTAGTGGATAAGAGCACTTGCTGTAAAAGATTCAAATAATTCAATCAACAAATGGCAGATAAACTGAGCAGTTCTCAAAATAATCAGTATAAATGCCAATAATACATGAAATAATGTTTGTCTAGTTACTCAAGAAATATAAATAAATACACACTGACTCCACATCTCCTTAGGCAAAGCAGCCATCAAGAAAACAGCAAACTCCAGGGTGCATGAGGTGGGAGAAAGAATGCTTACACAGTGCTAGCAGCAATGGTGAGGGCGGTGGGGGTGTATGGAAATTAGTGCAACCACTACAGAAAACTAACAGGCTCCTGCTCTCACTACTTCTGGGTGTGTACCTGAAGGACTCTGAGTCAGCACAGCACAGAATAACTCAGCTATCCATGTTTATTGCTGCACTATTGAGAGCAGCTCAGACCTGGAGCCAGCCCTGTGTATAACACCAGAGAAACTAAACTGATCAAAGAAAATGGGGCCTAGATATACAACGGAGCTTCATTCTGCCATGGAAGAATGAAATTATTTCATTTGCAGGAAAATGAGTGGAACTAGAGATCAGGTTAAGTGGAATAAGCTTAACTCAGAAAGACAACTACCACATATTTTCTCTCATATGTGGAATAAAGACATAAAACAAAACCCAAGACAGCTGGGCAGTGGTGGCGCATGCCTTTAGTCTTGGCACTGGAGGAAGAGGCAGATGGATCTCTGAGGTTAAGGCCAGCCTGGTCTATAGAGCAAGTTCTAGGACAGCCAGCGCTACACAGAGAAGCCCTGTCTTGAAAAAAAAAAATAAATAAAAAATGAATAAACCAAGACATGATAATAGACAAGGTATTATTTGGGAAGAGGAAGTGGACCATTGGGAGAAGAGAGGGTAACAAGGTGAATATGATCAAACTATATGGTATGCATGTATGAAAATGTCCAAACTTGTAATTTTACATAATGAATATACACTAATAGAAAAAGCAAAAAGGTAAACATGAAATTGCCAGATGACCCAGCTATTTCAGACATATATATATATATATATATATATATATATATATATATATATATGGGAATTAGAAACAGAGATACAAAAACATACCCATAAACGTTCATAGCAACATTTACTAATTAAAAACTGAAAATGCCCATTATCAGACAGGAAAATGAATGAGGGTTTGACACATGCTATGGTACACAAACCCTGAAAATGAATATTGCTAGTTTGTTCTTTCATGTGCAAATGTTTTTGAGAATTATAAGACAACCTGTTAGGGGCTCAAGGAATGTGAGTTTCCACTTCTCACAATGCTTTCTGGACTATTTCAACCTTAAGGTCCAAGGACGAGAAAGCACAGGGAACTTGATCTCTAGGCCATTCTTTGAAACACCACCATTGGGAGCCCCCAGTGCATGTCGGCCTGAGGCTTCCATGGCAAGGTTAAGTATGCCCGCACACTTCTGTCCCCAACCTGAGGGCTTGCTAGGGAAAGTCAGTGCCACCACTGCCTTGGACTGAGAAGGCTGGCCAGCTGCTGTCCCTCAGAGTAAAGAGGCTCCAGCAGTCTCTCACCTATAACCCCTCCCAGCCACTGCTCAGCAGGGTCACTCAGTCTCCTCCTGGGAGCACGGAAGACTTCCACACAGAAACTGATTTCTCCTCCATGCAGAAAGCAGGGGCTGGACTCACCGTGTGAGCGTTGTTAATCTTCTTCACTTCCCACTGGCCTTCCCCTGTATAGGTCAGTAGGGAGATGGCCCCATCCGAGCTCCCACAAGCCAAAATCAGGCCATAGTCGTGAGGGGCCCAGCATACAGAGTTCACTGTGGAAAGGGAGGCAGAGTGAGCATGCTGTCATCATACATCTACTATTTCGCTAAATTCTTAGAAAACCCACAGGGATTGCCAGTTGACATTTGGCCAAATAAGGAAAAATTGACACCTAACAGCATTTCCTAACCCTGTCTTCACAAATGAGGAGGGGCACCCTGAGATTCAAGGCTATCTTGGGAAGCCTCACTGTTCTTGATAAAGCTTTCTCTGGACTGGCTTTAGTCTTGGGGACTGACCTCAGCTGTGGACAGACTAGTGGAAAAGCCACCAGTATCCAAAGGATGGACAACAGCAAGGGAAGGGAGCCTAGGAGGAGTCCAGAACAGAGGCCCCTCCTCACCTGCTAACTCCACATACCTGAGGAGTCATGTCCTGAGTGCTCATGAGTCTTCTCCCAAGTGCCATTTTCCTCCTTCCAGATAATGACTTTCCGGTCATAGGAACAGGAAGCCAGGATATTGCCATACATGGGGTGGGCCCAGGCTACTTGCCATACTGGTCCCTCATGTCTGCAAAGGGAAGGGGTCAGAAGCTGCTCAGAGGGTCAGGGGACCCACAGTGCCACCTCCCTCTGGAGAGACAGCAGTATGTTCCTGCTGTCTTAGTTTTTTGAGTCGGGGTCTTCTCTTCTGAAAGGGACCAAACAAACCATACTGAGCTGGTTGTTCCAGACCCTTCTTCATGCACTCCTTCCAGTCCTGTTCTGTGAATGGGTACAGGAGGTAAAACTGACTTAGCTGTCCTCTGCCTCCTAAATGCTAAGAAAAAAGTATGTGCCACCATACCTAAATTTGGTCTGCATTCTACTAAGTTTAAAATAAAAACTCCATATCTTGGAATGAGTTACTAAAACACCAAATTGCCTCTTTGCCAAAACCAAGTACCAAGTGGTAGGTCTAACAATCTCTATAATTTCAAAGTCATAATGAGCACAAATGGTATTCTTAGACAGCTACATGTAAGATGAAAACAGACTTTTCTTGGTGACAAAGTGACAGGAACTGTAATCATTACTGGAGTTTGCAGTTACATCCAAAATAGAAGGAAATGGTAAATTCAGAGTCATGCTAACAATTTAATTGTTTTCCCTGTCCCAGTTGGCCAAACCTTGGGTTCAATTTGCAGAACGCTTGCAGAACCAGGTACCCTAGGTTAGGAACCTACACTATGTGAAAGGCTCTGATGGAAAGCAGAGATATGAGCATGAAAGTGAGCCAAGACCTCAAGGGTTAGTAGGAGCGAGAAGAGCAAACACCTGTCATACTCCCTGGCCATCTGCCACGGACAAACAGGCAGAACAACAGGGTGAATTAAGTCTGTCATACGGGCCCAGTGGGATGGCCCAGTCAGTAAAGCACTTGCTGTGTGAGCCCGAACACCTTGAGTTCAGTCCCCAGAACCCGTCTGTAGGAGAGAACTCCACAAAGTTGTTCCCTGACTGCTACCTATGAGCCTGCACATGTGCCCCAAGTCCGTTTATCTCGTGATCATACTTACCAAATGATACTTCAGGTCAAATGGCTAAATATGGATAGGATGGTAGTAGTGTTCATTAGTTCTGAACATGGCAGTGTTGCCCATATCACAAATATACTGAAGATGGGCCCTGGATGGAGACAGGGCCCATCCTCAGTATATGATTAAGCGGAGGAAGGCTCCAAGACGCAAAGTGCCTCACTTGCCCAGGTCTCCTGGTGGTAGAGCTAGGGCTCATACCTGAATGCACCTGTGCCCTTACCTGCACCTCTGCTAAGGGTACAGGGGTCTGGGCTCTAAGCATCCTCATTGCTGGACGCACTCTGGGACTGCCCTGGATTTGTGCTTTCATCCTTCCCCCCAGGCCTGAGATTCCAGCTACCCTGAGACCTTCTCCAGGCTTGTTTACACTTACCCTCTGAGGTCTGCAATGAGGATCTGCCCTCCATTTCGCACATCAAAGATTTTGACGGACCTGTCCGAGGAGCAGGTTGCTAGGCGGGTGCCATAATAGTCCATCTGGGCATCATGCTGCAAGGGAGGACAATGGGGGAAGCCTGCAGGATGGGTGGGTGAAGCCCCAGCCAGACCTAGTATAGACCAGAATCTACCCAAACTCCTATCTGTGCATCATGTTGCAAGGGGAGGGCAGCTGAGAAGCCTATAGGACAGGTAGGTGAACCAGTCAAGACCTAGTATACACCAGAATCTACTCAAACTCAGTCTCAAAGAATCATCACCTCATGGACAAGAAGCTAGAATGTTGGTATTATCAGTTCCCTGCCATATTGAGCTGGTTGTTCCAGATTCTTCATGCACTCCTTTTAGCCCTGTTCTGTGAGTGAGTACAGAAGGAAAAACTGACTTAGCTGTCCTCTGCCTCCTTTCAGGCCCTGTCCTGATCACAGGGCTATTGGGGAAGACAACTTGAGGCTCTGCTTAGCCCCAGACCCCAAGACTAATGATTGAGAGCAGGCCTCAGAATACTCCAGGCACCATGCAGCACCTCTCTGAGGCACTGTGGGCCTGGATACAGGGTTCCATACAGACATGTGGTCCTCTCACTGCACCAAAGTCCTGGATAGTCTGGGGACCTTTTTCCTAACAGTGTGTCTAGTACTCCAGATTCTACACCCATGGGTGTAGAATGCCTTAATGTATCATTGCTCCCACTGCTCAGGAACCAACTTCGACACTGACTGGATACCTGGAATTAGGGCTGACTGCCGCCCCAGTTCTGGGCCTATTTCTGCAGCATGTTGTATGGTCTCCTTCCACACCAGTCCCCTGTTGGCTGGCTCACCTATCCAAGTGGTCGCTACTTTCCTATCTGTCCCACCCTGCAGGTTTCAGCAATAGTCAGCTGTTACCTGGAGCAGTTATAACCTTTCAAAGAAGGTGCTATATGGAACTGCCTACTCAAGGAAAACGATTCCTCTGGAAGGTCATCTTTCTACTGTGTTAGGCTTTGCTCTACTGGTAGGCAAGCTGCAGGTCCATTTCAAAGCCTTTTCAGCAGAGTTCTATCATACTGGGAAGGAAGGCATAGTACCTGGGGTGAAAGTTCTTTCTTTAGCTTATCTGTTGTACAAACTTTGAAAAATTAGCTTTAACCTTTAACCTTCTGTTTCCTTATCTTTCAAAGGGGCTAAGGAGTGTGCTGGCTTCAAGGGTCCTTGAAGACTTAACAAGGTCCTGAATGAAAATACTCAGGGTCTGATGACAAACTTCATGAGCATGTAAATATTTTAATTACTATACTACCTCATCTGGTCCCCAGGAGGAAACCAAGGTGGGACACTGGCAAGTGTGTCTAGACTGGATCTTCTTGCCCTTGGGCTCATGCCAGCTCCAGCCATGTATGTGGTCTCACAGCTAGACTGCTCATGACCAAAACAAGTAACACGCACAATTTTGCAACAGAATCCCCCAACAAGTGTCAGTAGTCAGGCTGGGAGGTCAGGAACTTCACAGAAAAGGCTGAGACCACCAGGCCCAGGCCCCACTCGAAGGCTGCCTGCATTGTTTGGTTTCAGGAAGCAGGCTGGATTTTTCTGTCTGAGACTTTAACCTCTGGACCTTCCCCAGCAGCACTACACTGTACCCTGTGTTGGCCTCTCAAGAAACGCCCTGAGTAATGACTTCAGGCCCAAGTGTCTGGTGTGGCCTACTCTCTGGGGTAGAGGCCCATCTGTCTCTGCCCTAGGCTTTCACGGTGGCTGCCACTGACTTCCTACTCTCGCTCATTTAACTCCCTTTCAGTGGAGCTGAGAAGTGGCCTGGAAGGAAGACGGGTGGGAAGATGATGGTCAAACCTCTGCCCCTAACTCAGCCTTACTCTCAGAGCAGGGTACTGTGTTGGAGGGCCTGAGCTGCACAACAGAACCAGTTTCTCATAGCAAAGACAAGCCACTGTCAAAGCCCTGCCAACTCAGAGGTCACGTGGGAGAACAATGAAACCTTGGAGTCTATGGCCTGCTGTGAACTACTACCCGGTCTGAACTCCCATGGAGGAGAATGCCCAAGTCCAGGCCCAGGAGAAGGGATGAATGGATACTTACAATCATGTCCTCATGAGAGGTGTCCACGGTGTTGATTACTGACACCTAGAACCAAAGACATTCTGTGAATTCACTGACAGCAGCCACAACAGTCATCTCAGCAAAGCACCAGGTGCCTCTAAAGTTCTTAGGGGGATTTGTTCACTCATTCATTCACTGACACACTCATTCTGTAAACACTTTCTTTTTCTGGCTCTCATTACGTAATTCTGTCTGGTCTTGAACTCAGGCTCCTCTTGCCTCAGCCTCCTAAATGCCAGGATAACATATGTGCATTTCCAGCTAAGGGCCTTCTTTAAATTGAGTACCATGTGAAGGACTGTGAACCGACAGGAGTGTGAATGGCAGATCTTGCCTCAGAGAAGCTCGAAATAATCTGCAGTAGGCCAGATCAGCCATACTGTGTGTGGTTTGTGTGGACAGGAGGAGCCCATGATGAGGGGGACATACAGCTGCCTTAAGTGATGAGAACCAGGGAGAAGATATAATCCAAGCAGAAAAGGATCCCATGGGCAAAGACAGTCTGAGAACTTGAGGTCAGTGAGTCTGGAAAGCAGGCCTGGCAGCTCTCAAAGGTGAGGTGGGACCAAGCAGGAACAGAGTTCACATTCCCTTTCTGCATTACAGAGCTTCGGATGGTCCAGAAAGTTTCAGACCAGGACCTGATTTGAGTTGCTTCTGAGGTTACTCTCTGGTCTGCCTAGACTTTGACCTTAGTGGGACCCAGGTTTGATCGTCTGTAGAGGCAGAAAACAGCCATGATGTGCATCGATGATTCCCCCCCCCCTTTTTTTTAACCAGCCTCCCTTGATCCCCAACTAGCTAGACTCATATATATATACATATGTATAGATATGTATACATATATTTATGTATATATATGTACACACACACACACACAAAAGCCTTGAACAGCTACAGTACTTTATACTGCTTCTCTGCTGGAGAATGTAGGCTCCAACCATCTATAGCTTTGACACATTCTCTATTTGTCTTAATACATAGTTCTAGATGGCCTGGAACTCACTCTGTAGAACAGGCTGGCCACAAACTAAGATTCATCTGCCTCTGCCTCCTGAGTGCTGGGATTAAAGGCACGTGCCATTATATCCCTCAGTTTTGAATTTCTTTAAAATTTTTTAGCACAATGTTTTACAGACAGAAGAAACTCAGTAACTTTCCATTGAATTAATAAATGAACAAAAATACACATTTTTTTTTGGCTCAACCACTATTTAATTCTTGGGAGAGAAAAGGAAACTAAAAAGGTGGCTATCATTTGAGATTGACATTTCTCACCATTTCCCTCATCACCGTTTCCAGTGCAAACTTTGCAGTTACAAAGCCTGACTCTTCACGGCAGGGTGTTGTGGTGCAGGACCTTAAAACTCAGGAGGCTCAGGAAGGTGGAGCAAGAATTCTAGGCTAGCTTGGGCTACTTTTCAGAAAGGTAGGCCTTGAGAGAGCATGACAGCAAGGCATTCAGTAAGGCACACAGAGTAAGTACAGGTTTTCTTGAGAATTCGAAGTGCTTTAAAAAGTGCACTTGAGGGTTTGTTTGCAAAGACTAGAGGAAGAGGAATTGCACCTGCTTGCAGACGCTGACATTTTCCCTTGGCATTGAGAGGCACCAGGAGCAGTCAATTACAGCCAATAAAGACTAAACAACTTAAGAGCCAGTGAAGAGAAAACCCTTGCCAAAACCACACTGCTGGGAATAAACCCTATCTACGAACCTCAAACACTCAGCCTATACTATACTACCAGACCTGGCCCCCACACCCTCCACCCCTGCCCCAACACACATCAATACAAGGTGGGTGGTGTTCTCAAGAATCCCCACAATCCAGACTGGCCGAGGGAGAAGTAATTTGATGTTGGTGACCCAAAGCACCTTTGAGAGCTGGCGTTTCTTTCTGACCATTCTCACTCAGCAGCCATGGGTTGTGATCCACACTTCGGGATGCTATGTGTTAAAAAGTTCTCTGCAGCACCCAGCACTTAGGGGGTTACTGGAACACAGTAAGAAACAGCACTCAAAACAATTCAGCTCATCAGAATCACACCAGTTACACATTTAGAATGAGTTCCATAACTTAAGAGTCTCCAACTCAGCAACAGAAGAGTCAAAGGCCAACAGAAGAGGGAGGAAGCTCCTTGCATCACTGTGCCAACCAAGTCTAAGACTTTCAGCGACTGATTCTCATTCATTCACTCAGTGACTCAGGGGCACTGAAGATACACTGCAGATACCTCGGAAGTTTAAAAAAAAAAAAAATCCGAGACGATGTCCTAGACTAGAGCCATTCAGCTAGGCCTCTCGTCAGTTTCCCGAAAGGCCTATCACACCTGGGGGCCCTGTGTCTAAACAACTGGTCCCGCCACCACTTTTGCTGAGGTGGTAAGTGGCAGGACCGAACAGTTAGGAGGATTTGGACCTCAGCTTTGCTACGCCCAGCTCAAATGTTGATGATAGCAGCACCGGCTCCGCAGGCTACCTTCAGGCAGAGGATGTGAGCAATGGTGGGAACGCACTAAGGGCTCGGTAGACAGCAGCTCCTACGATAGCTTTGGCTTTTTTTTTTTTTTTTTCCAGTTACGGAGGACAAGGCACGAGATGGGCAGGAGATGCCACAGCAGCCCGGGCCTCTGAGTTCCGGAAGGCCTGGCGGCCTTGCCATAAACTCCCACTCTGAAACCCACAGAAGCAAGACACGCAAATCTTGAAGAGGTGGAGGGGGGCTGGGCAGCCCGAAGGTCACGACTGCCGCCGGGACCGCAACACTCACCATAGCTGTTGCAGCGGCGACTCACAGCCTCGGACGTGGCAGCTCAAAACGCTTCACTTCCGGCGCCGGCCCACAGCCGGCAGGCCGTCACCCAGGAGCTTCCGGTTAGCAACACATTCGACTCACACAAAGGTTCCGCCTCTTCTGGAACTCGCGTCCCGCCCTCCCTCGGCTCCGCCCTTATTTTGGCCGTTCGTGGGGCTCTGGTTGCTATGGCGACCCTAATCACGGGATTTTATAATCTAAAACTGTCACTAGCGGATTTTCTACCTAGACCAAGCTTTCCTGGTTCCCGAAATGCATAAATGATTAGTGATTACAGCTTCAACCTCCTATTCTGTGGGTTCTAGGTACCTCTGGATTTTATCACGAACATTGTAGTGATTAATTTCGCGAGTAGACTGGGTTAGTACTTTGTTAGGTCTTCCGCAGGACGGCCCTGCTATAGGACCGATGACTTAAGAGACCCCAGACTTCCGGAGGGATCCCCTGGGATCCTGTGAGTCTGGCCCATGAGGAACCCTGGAAGTCCTGTCGGGAGTCCAGGACGCGTCCCCTCCCCGCCCCAAATCTCCAGTGTCCCCCAACCGTTAGTGCACCGACTTTCTTCAGGGATAGCAAACCAGAGTCTCTAATCCCTGAGACTGACTGCTCCGAGAGACGTCAACTTGAGACCCCCAACCCCTTCCCCCAGCTTTTGGTTTTCTACACAAGCACTGTAAGGAGGATGCTGAGCTGAAGGACAGCTCCTCTAACGCATATGGTCCCATCCTCCCACCCACTTCAGATCTTAAGAAGCCAAGTGGTCCAGGGTGGAACCTCCACGCCCCCACCCCTACCCCAGCTAAGTCAAAATCCCTTCTGGTCCTATGTTGAAACTGGGATTAAAAACCCTGGTTGGAGATAGTTACCAGCAAATGCCAAAACTCAAGGAGTGTGAAGGGGTTTTGGAGAGGGGCCAGGAGAGTGGCAGCCTTATATCCCTGCCCTCCCACCACGGTGCCTTTGAGATCTTTCTTCTCCAATGGAGAAGTTGTCACAGGGATGTGAAGAAGCAGTACTTAGAGTAAAACAGAAAACAAATTTGAGGGGCCAGTTTAGCCTTCTGTTCTCCAGGGCACAGGCCCCTCTGTAGCTGCACCACCATTCCTTCAATTGATGAGGCCAAGTTAGTTTTCTCTGAGCCTTTTCTCCAGTTGAAAATGGTGACAATGGGCATCTTAAATGTAAATATAATGCAGGAGGTGTCATTGTTATTGAGGGAATTTCCTGGTATAAGTCCTAAAACAGAAGACGTTGAGGGTCTTGGATAAGCGACAGCAACTGAAGACATTTGCAAGTAGACTGGAAGGCATGGTGTTACAAAGCTTTAGAGTGCCAACTCTGGCTAAAGATGGAGAGTCATCAGAACCTCATCTCCTATTTCTGAAGGCCTATTCTTCGCCTCTTCTCTGCTAAGTGGGAAGCACAGTACAAGTGAAGTATCTCTTCTCTTGGGACCCATTTCATTTTGATTTTGTGAACATTTGCATGACCATGAGATATCCTGGGATGGGATCCAAATCTGATTACAAGCATGTAATATTTTATGTACTCTTACGAACATAGTTGGAATGTGTGTGTGTGTGTGTGTGTTTCTGTTTCGAGACAGGGTTTCTCCATGTAATTTTGGTGCGTGTCCTGAACCTCACTCTGTAGACCAGGCTGGCCTAGAACTCACAGAGATCCACCTGGCTCTGCCTCCCGAGTGCTGGGATTAAAGGTGTGCGCCACCACCGCCTGGCGGCATTTTTATGTTTTTGGTAATTTTGTGCCCAAAGCAAACGTTGGTGGTGTGGGGTCTCCTACTTGTGGTGTCATGTTGGCACTCAGAAAGTTCCAGATTTTCAGGATCAGAATGCTCAGCCTGTAATACCTACTCTGAAAGTTAATGTTGGATTAAATTAACCTTGGAACTGAAACAGTGCTCAGAAGTTAGATGAGGCCACCGATGCTAGATCTGGGGGCCAGTTCAGCTTGTGAAGAGCTGGGATTTTGTGTATATAACTTGGTGCTTGTTTCTCAGTCTGGTATATTTTCTTTCCGGTGAGAGGTTTGCTAAATTCAGATTCCTAGGTGTGCTGGTTAGGTGCTTTTTGTTTGTTTGTTTTGTTGTTGTGGTTTTGGTTTTGCCAATCTGACACAAGCCAGGGTCATCTGACAAATGGGGATTTCATTGAGTAGTTGCATCCATCCAGTTGGCCCATGGGCAAGTCTGTTGGGGGCATTTTCTTGATTAATGACTGATGTGGGAAGGCTCTGCCCACTGTGGTTGGCACCGTCCCTAGGTTGGTGGTTCTGGGAAGTATAAGAAAGCAGGCCTATGAGGAACAAGCCAATAAGCTGTGTTCCTCCACATTTTATGCTTCAGTTCCTGTCTCCAGATTCCTGCCCTGCTTGAGTTTCTGCCTTGACTTCCTTCAGTGATGGACTGTGATTAGGATATGTAAGCCAAGCACATCTGTCCTCCTCAAGTTTCTTTGGGCCACCGTGTTTTATCACAGCACTAGAATACAAACTAAAACTCTAGGGCACCAGGTTCCTCCTTGCTTCCCTCCTCCTCAGCTGGGGATGACATTTATAATCTGTGTCCACATTTTCCACCGTCTTCCTCTAGTTTTTCCCAGACCACAGTCAGGCCATCCACAGTTTCCTCCAGTTGCTTCCCTTCACCCCCTGCCACTTTGCCTCTGAGTTAGTTACTCTTCTCTTCCTGAGACCCCTTCTCCCAAGCCTCTTTTTGAGATGGGTTAATGGCTCATGACAGGTCCCTCCGATGGTGGAGCTCAAAGATGTAATAATCTAGGTCAAAATGTCTTTCCCCACCAGAGACTCAACTTCCCCAAGTTCAAATCCATAGAGAATGGGGACTCAGCTGTCCTGCGGAAAAAGGCCTTGGGATGGTTACCATGCCTGCGTTTCCACGTGTGCATTTATTGTTATTGCTTAGTATAGTGTTGAAAAGGCAGACAAATCCCGTTAGTTACAAAGAGCACAAGCCAGAGATACAGAGAAATAAAGAGTGTACAATAAGAGCACAGTCACTTCCCAGCCCCGATTGTCCCAGAGCCCCCCAGAGCCCAGGCAGCTTGTGGAAGCTGGAGGCGGCACCATTCCCTCGCTACTCTGTTATAAAAGATGTGCGCACGAGAGTTAGCAAAGTGTGGTGACCCCCAAGAGGAAGGGCCCTGGAGGGAGAGCACCACAGACATTACAAAACAGACCACGGGCCTGGAAGGTGGCCCCAAGTAGCCTCAAACCTTTTGTTTTGGGAGGAGGGGATGATGGTAGCTGCCCAGGGCCTAGGGTCCCATGCCTTGGGTGGGCTGGATCTATATGTTAAATCAGAGGGCTTCATTTGGACCTTGGAAGATATTTGGAGACTCCTAGGGTCTCAGTGGGGCCTTGGTGCTTCAAGAAGTATCCTCGCTCCTAGGGTTCTCTAAGGGTGGGGCTTCAGATACTCGAGCAGGAAAGAGTTGGTTGGAAATCTTGTCAGTGTGTGGTTCAGTAGCCTCTTATAGCTACAGCAAGCAGGGAGGGGACCAGGAGTGCCAAGATATCCAGGCAAGATATGTTTGTATCCCAAAGGTGCTAAAACTCTGAATTAATAAGAGATGACCCCAGTAACCCAAATAAAATAACCAAAAGCCAGTTTAGAAAAGGCAGACAGGCAGTGTCTCCATGCAGAGTGGTTCTGATGAGGCTGAATGTTCTTTTAGTACTGGGTCTGAAAGAGGTCCTTCTTTCCTGTCCAGACAAGGGGCACATGGGGACCTGCCCTGGCATAACCACAGGAGGTGATTTGTTGGGTGGGGCTTGATGACCTCTCCTGACAATTCTAGCGCTTAGGGGACAGGTAAGTTGACGGCTTCCCAGAACTCAGGATGCTGCTTTGTCTGTCCTGAGAGGACATTCTGCATACAGAGGCTCTGAGTGGACAGTGATTACAGAGGGGGTGGGAGTGGTTCCCAGACTGACAGGGGCCAGTGTGAGAGGTAAGAGGAGGGCAGAAGGAAGAGAGGCTAGCAGAATTTTAACATTTCTTCAGAAGAACACTTATAGGGGGAAATATTGTGTAGAGGGATGGGGACTCACCTCCTGTTACATACTAAAACATTTGTGAGGGACAATAATTAAAACATGTGGCTGGTGCCAGAGGGGACAGCAGATGAAGGGATGGAAGAGAAATTCCAGAATTGGGCTTGTCTATATAAGACATCAGGAGGTGGCAAAAGGTGGCTTTTGAACAGGCATGGGGACATAGTGGCTCTTAATTAACCAGAGGACCCAGGATAGGGTGGGTTCTGGCTTGGGAGTGGTCAGTGCCATATCCACTTTCCGAAGTAGGGCGCCTCCCTCCAGTCAGCTCTGTGCTATGGTTGGGGTGAGGGTGGGGAAATGGAGGCTGCTCCTGACTCCTGGAAAGCTGTGAGCAGCAAGTGGAGCCTTCCTCCCCTCCTCCACAGATATCCAGAGCCATAGTGCAGGCCCTCTGCTGGGCCCTCACCTATCCAAGGGGGTGGGAGTTGATGTACTTACACAGGACAGGAAAGAAGGGGGCAGGTCCAACACTAGAAAAGAATAGGTTTCCTATGTTCTGCTTGATTTCTTCTTTTAAATACCATAGACACACCAGAAACACCTTTGTAAGTCAGAAGAGTCAGCCATGGAAAGCATAACCATTGCATAGTAGTAAATGAGCAGAGACGGTGAATTCTTTATTTACAATTATTGTCTAGATAAAAAAATTCATAAAAACAGATGAATGGTCATAAATTATTGACCCCCTAGTGGGGTGAACTGCCAAACGTACCCCATGCTGCTAGATATAGGACGCGGAAGTGCAAGCTTTGTGTACTACAGTGAGTTCTGACAAACCAACCATCTCCTGTGTAGGTGTGTGTGTGTGTGTGTGTGTGTGTGTGTGTGTGTGTGTGTGTGTGTGTGTTGATGAGAGTGAATGTGTGAGGGTAAGGGGTTGGGGCATAGGACTGTCCCTCATTCCTGACACCGGGAAGCCAATGCTAATGTCTGGCCTCCTTGTTAG